AGAGAAATCATTTTTTAAAATAAAATTTTGGGGTCACGAGGTCGTTTACGAGTTAAATTACTTTAAAGCCAAAATATCCGCCATCTTGAAACGTCATTGTCGCCATAGCAACGACAGCTGCGTAACTTTTGTGCAAAAATTCAAACTCTTTAGATTCTGTTTCATATACTAAGTAAGGTACTTTTTGTTTAATCAATAAGTAATAATTGTACGTCCAAAAAAACGCATCTAAATCGTGAATCTTTTAAAAACTGTAAAAACTTTTAAAAACTGTATTGAACCATGCACCTTCACCGCGCTGACAAAAACTCTGAGAAGAAAATTTAAAACTTTAAATCAACTTTTATGTCATCTTGCCGAGCCAAATAAAATATCGTCCCTAGACCAAGATCGCATAATCGAACTTAATACGACAGTTATTTTGCTAATTTCTGGTGCATGTGTTTGAGTCATACGTCGCTCTAAATCTCCATCGTGAGAAATTGTAGGCGCTTTTTAACTCGGTCAGATCGGGTAAATTGTTGAACAGAACACATAACGTTTGGGCTTCGGACCTTTCTGATCGGAAAATTTAGATCAAATTAGAAGGAGGCCCATTTTCGCTAGATTTTCGAGAAACGTGGGCCAGATTAATACCGAGACAGAAAACGCCCTGTGACCGCGAATATAGATGGTTGCAAGAAGCACTCGTGGAATATGTTAAGAGTTGGCATATGACTCACATGAGACGATAAGTATAGATCATGCACTCAATGACAATGAATGTTTACGTTATTTCTTATCATCCTATCTTAGCTTAAGTGCTCTCCAGAGTAATAATTACGCTCTGTCTCCTTTGATGCTGCACTTCCCGTTTGAATTTGGATCGAATATTGATACTGTAATGTTTTCAAGGCGTTGTCAAGGTCGATACCATTGGATTTATTGTTTTGATCGGAAATGAGCTTTTAGCATAATCATATTTTGTCAAGATATGATCGTCTGAAAGTGGAAGTCCGGCAAATTTCAAAGCCACAAAATAGAAGACATTTAGAAAGATCTTTGACTTTGCTTGATGTTGAATGGTAACTCACCGTGCACGAATCCTTTGTCTCAACTTCATTACAGTAAAATATACATCAATCACCTTGCATAAATTATACACAGTTGATTTAGACAAAAACATCACACAATGATTTCTGTCAGTTCCCAGACCATCATATTTCGATAGACTGTGGGATAATTTCCAACCATCACACTCAAGCCCAGCCCCATCGTGTGTTTTTTTTTTCAGGAGCTGGTATTGCACACTCAACATGCTGCAGTACATGCCCACAAAATATATTCATCTTCTTAAGGTAATTCGATGCCCTTGAAGACAAAGAGATAAAGAGTTTCGGCTTTATATTAGTGAATACAAGGCTTGTACTTAATTATCTACTTTTCTTTGATCTGAGAATATTATTTCACATTTATTTCACTCAATTTCAACCTAGTAAATTAAAAGGTGATTTTCAATTTCGCGTATTTGCGAGGAAAGGTTTCAAAACTCCTAAAATCACCATTTACCGTTCCGCTCAAAATTATTTTGTTTTTGCTTTATTTTGTAGTTCACTTAGTAAAATACCTTTTTCAATGTATCAGGCGGTTGAGAAACACAAAATAATAGTTAATTTCAATACACTCTGTCGATAATTACATCACACATGGGCTACGTTTTGATCTTGGAGCCTCGATTCATTAGTAAATTACGCAAGTATCGAAAGAGTGTATTTAATAAATACAATTATCATTAATGTTGTAAAATTGACGCCTCACTAAACTTAAAGGGAGGTAGGTCGAGCTGGGATGGGTAGATTTTAGACGAAGAAAAACGTCGTCAAGTTCACTAGTGTCAGATTAATATTAGATTAGGGTTGGAGGTTAGACTCGTGATTAGATTAGGGTTAGGTGTTCCCTAGATAGATGATTATTATCTATTTGCGCACTTTTGTCATGTGATTCTATTCATCTATTTATCCCTGAGACTGTGCTGAGATAGCGTACAAGAGATTCTCCTCTTAAGGAAATCATATGATCTGGAAGGCAGTGCATACCAAGTTGTTACTACCAATCTCCAAACTATCACTTAGCTATTGACAGTTTTTTTGTAATGCTCATTTTATTTTGTGAGAAACGGAGAGTTTACTGACAACTGTATTTGCAATAAAGTTGATTAACCTACTGATTAATATATTTACTAACATGGATTATTATGAATAATGATATATTTGTCGTACGTTTCAATAAAACCCCACAAATAAAGTTTTCATGCATTAATGCTTCCGAGCAAAAATAATACTGCCAAAATACTGTTGACCGAGTGTTTTCGATAAGATTCCACTTATAAGTTTGCATTGTTTTACAAATTTCAAATTAAGGTCAAACTAAGGTCAATGTTATTTGCCTCAGCTATTTTTATTTATACGGTCGTGAAAGTATTATTCATTTAAATTGTGGTGACTATACAAAGAGGAATGACTCTGCGGAATGGCATGCGGCATGAGTTGCATAATGAAAAATTACATCAAGTACATTGTAAATAAACCGCTGTTTCTAATAGCGCGGGCTCCATAAAGAATCTCGTGGTTTTGTGTTGGCGAACATAAAACATGGCCTAAAATGCACAAGTTTTATATTTGACATTTAAATATTCTCATTGAGCCTGTACGTTTTTAGGAGTCCCACTGCATATCCAGAGAAGATGATTTTTCCTTTTTCTTCCAGTTTTTACTACGTGGGCTTGTGATAGTGATATAAAAAACAAAGTACAGAACCAAAATTCACCTTTATAAGATTAATATACTAAAATACTTTCACATATGAATCACGTTTTAGGAGCAGTTATACTATTTTTATGGAGCCCACGTTATTAGAATAGGCGGTCTATTTACACTGTGCTTGATGTAATTTTTCATTCCGTGACTCATTCCGCAGAGTCACAGAATAGGCAGAGTCATTTTTCCTTTAATAATCACCGTTAAGGCCGATTTGCGAATTACTGTGTATTTTTTTAAATGTAGAATGTACCGTTTCACTGCATGACTGTTCAGATGTTAATATGTATATTTGAATATTTATTGAAAACAAACAACGTGTTTGTATAAAATATTATAAGCTTCCTTATAGCCGAAAACAATACGAGCCATAAATAGCCATTCGTTGGGTTACAACGCCCAAATAGTTAATATTCAAGTGGAGGGGCGGGGCTTACAGTGAATTAAAATACAAGAACCTTCCACTTCCGTGTATGTAGTCTGTTGTAATTTTCTATAGGTTACCAAGTAATTACCACTCAAATAATTTAGTTTTCTTTCAAACAAATTACCTTAATCGCTTAATAGCACCGATAGCAGAAAAATTTATCGATATGTCTACTCCAAGTTAGATTTTCGTCTATTAGTAAGACACCAAGATATTTCGCTATAGAAACTCGATCTTGCTATAGGAACTCGATTTTGCTATTAGCCACGTATTAACATTGTCCAAATGTTGCCATTATGGTAAGTAAGATGAGCATCATCTGCATTTTCATTTGGACAAAAAGTTTGGTGAATATTAATAAATCTCAAGACCATAAGGGGACCTAGAATTGTTCCTTGAGGAATTCCACACTTAAGATTACGGCGAGTCATTTAGGTAAGCGAGACGTCTTGATAATCGGGCTAATATGGACAGGCCCATATTATATTTTGCAGTGACCTTGCTTCAGTTGTTTGTGATCACCTTGTTAATATTTGCATAATAAAATTTGAAACAATTTAAGTGCAAGGCTAACAAATTTGAAATTGACCTTGACAGCGCCTTGACAACTTTACATTACGTCACAATCATTCTACTTATAAGGGCGACACGTTCGGTGATCCGGTCCAAACTCAATCGGGAAGCGCAGTAGGAGATTAAAGAAAAATTAGTTGATTACTGAAGATGGATTTAGAGGTTTACATACAGTTAATATTTCTGTGCGTTGTGAACATACTGTTCACTTGCGCAGGAGTAGTTTTAAATGCATTGGTGATAGTCAGTTTTTTAAAGTCCTCATTATATCTTCGGAAGAAATTATGCAATTTCATGATCATGGTCCTTTCGTGTTTCGATTTGCTCGTGGTTATAACGAAGCATCCATTATTGGCCTTTCGCCTAGTGTTATGGCTAAATGAAAAGCATGATTTATTTAGCAAGACGCAGATTTATGAGCATTTTTCAACCACGATATTTGGCTTCTCTTTCGTTGCACTTCTGGTGATGAACATTGAACGATATCTGGGAGTATATTATCCTTTCTTTCATCGAACAACGGTAACCAAACGCAAACTGCTAATATTACTCGGAATATTACTCATTCTACCACTTACCTTAGTACTGATTTCTGTGAACGACTGGGTGATTTCCTTTCCAATGGCTTCAATAATTTTCGTTATCATTGTAAATCCACCATTCGTGTTCATCAACTACAAATTGTTTAAAATTTCCAGAAAAATGCGTCGCGACAACACAACATCACCTGAGGTATCAACCTTACATGTTAACCTAAAAAACATTTCAACTTGTTTATTGGCAGTTGGCTGTCTTGTTTTGTTATCCATTCCAGGGAGCTTCTTCATTGCATTTAACTTTGTTGAGGAATCGACGTCAGAAAATGTGATATTGTCTAATTTTTGGACTGTCACTGTAGCAACAGCGAATTCTACATTGAACTGTTTGATCTTTTTCTGGAAGAATAAAGTTTTACGCAGAGAAGGAATAAAGGTATTAAAGACCTTGAAAGGCTGTCTATTCGCATCCTAAAGCTGGTCTAGTTTAACAATGTTTGCCTGACACTTGTTCCATAAAACGAATCATTATTCATCCGGACGTGTAACACATCCATAGCAAAGGACAACGAATGAACTAAATGTGGCTGGTATACTGTATTTTGTTAAAAAACTTGCAACTGAATAGACTGTAACACTATTGTATCGTATTTAGTCTCAGAAGCTGACTTAAAATGTCTGTTTCATATTAAGGTCTGTATGGGAAAAGAGAAACATTTGTCAGTGTGTTAATAGTGAATTAAATAATAGTGAATTAAACAAACTAGTTAATACCATTGGCATTGTTGTTGTTATTGTTGGTTGTGTTTGATATATCGCACAAATATCGATATCCAAAAAAGGGAAATATTCGACTAGTATTTTATCGAACTAAAACAGTTGGTACTTGCCCATCACCAGCAGTCTCTAGCTTTTTATCGACTCGGGTGGAAAAAGGCGGGAAATTGATTTGGCAACTGGTTCTCGCACTTCCCATTTGTCAAACATTCCTTAGGTTATCGGTGAACAATTCTTCAGATTCAGTAAAATTTCCAAAAACATAATTATAATTATAAAACAATTAAAAATAGTTAATTTATTTTTTATTTAAATCTTCGTCAGAAATTTGTTCAAATCGCATCGATCTCGAACCCCCCCCATAAACATACGAGATTGAACGCACCTCCTCGTAGCCGATAGAAATGCCGCTAATACGCTAGGTATGAGATAAGAGTCCTGCTCGAATTAAAGTAATTCAAACTGTACGTTTTAAATCAATACTCTGATTAATTGCAGAGTTTCCTGGTAAGTTGAAACGCGCTGTGAAGCCTGCATTCAACGAGGTGTTCTTTGATCGAACCGCGCCAATCACAAAACAAAATTAGCAAACACTTCAAGCAGCGACAAGTGCCACTACAAATTGCCGAGCCAGTAGAAATGTTTTCAACTATAAAGCCTTTGTTTTAATCTCCTCAAACTATATTGAATTCATGCCATGGACAATACACACCAACTTTTTCAGAGGATATAAACAGTACAAAAATTCGTGTACAGAAAGTCTATAGTAATATTCAAACGCAATGTCCTTTATGACCTTAAATCTCCATCATTGTCTAAAAGCTAACACAATATACAAATTTCATGACATTTTCTACGTTCATAGCCATCACCAAGCCTTATCCTCGTTTCACTAGGGCTTTGTCAATTATAAACTGGGAATGAAATTGAAAAGGAAACCAAAATTTACAAACTACACTAATCATTATAATTACTGTACACTTTCGTATAGACTAGCTGCACTCGTTAGATTAAATGGTAAGATGGTACTATAACAATAAAATGTTCCTGATTTTGAGCTTTTGTATTTCCAGCTCCGCACAAACATCGTGGCTTTGCATCCGGGAACGAGGATTTACATCCGGGCAACGAGATTTTACCCAATCAGAGAGTTTATTTGTCCCATTTGGAAGCTTCAATTTGTCCCTCGATTTTTCTCGCAATGCCCAGGCCCGTAACTAGCTAGCTATGAGTCACATGAGTCAACCGATCGAGTCAGGTGACTCGATAAGATTTTTTGTGAAAGAATTCAAAACAGGAAGACTTCAAGTTAGGAGAAAACAGATCCTGAATGAAATTTATCAATTTCTGATGGATAGAAGTACGAATTATGGTCCCAAATATTACCACGAACACGTTTTTTGTTGCCGAGTGAAGCGAGGCGGCACACTAATGTCGACCCAGTCTCCCAGTCGGATGTATATATTGCATTCAGAATCGAGATTTTCTGTCGTGATGTTGGCGAATTTGTGACGTAAAATGACGTAGCAGTTACAAAATGGCATACACAGAGATTTTACGAAAACAATCCGAGTGCAGAAATTTTTTTTTTGAGGGGGTCACTGTCCGTGGGAGGCTTGGTAATAATAATTGCTGCCGTAAGCAGCACACTATTCTTGACAACTGATTTTGACGTAATGACTTGTGCCAGTTTCCTTGACCGAGTTATAACGATGCAGCTTGATTCAAAATATAGAAGAAATTTGGATTTCTGATGGCCAGTAATTGCTCGTAACTCGCCGTAAAGCTCTCGTTCTGTACTTTCCGCCATGATGAAAAATATAAGAAACGATCATTTCTTCACAAATAAAAGACAATAATTTCGTAATTCGGAAAATTATTTTTTGCAGGTACGTTTTAGGCAATTATTAGTATACGGTGTTGACAATGTTTACTTATTACTCGCTGGGGCACTGTGCCCCAGACGAGTATAGGTTTCGGCATCATGGATCGGCAATCTCCAATCGTCGATAGCCACAAAATAGAATATTAATGAGCTGCCTAATTTTCCCTCCAATTATCCATAAGGCTCCTGCCAATTTTACCCAAATATCCATAAATAACCCTGCATTTTGAGGAAAATTCGGGAAAATTTTTCGCACGGAAACAGAAATTTTCGCAAATCGCAAGTTTTTGCGTTTGGCTGCGCTGCTTTATATTTTGAGAAGAAAGCGAGACCGTTCGATTCAGCGTAAGAAATTGTACTTACGGATGTCAAGTGTATTACTAAACACCAGTATTCTAGCGATTTATGACCTTTGAAAATCAAGCGAAATTGTATTGTTGACAAATCGCTCGCAGTACGTAATATTGTTGCCTGGTTATTGACAAATCACTCGCGCTACGTTTGTCCTTGTATTTGTAATGCCTAATGGCGCAATAAGGATAAAAATACCACCGTTCGATTCAGCGTAAGAAATTGTACTCACGGATGTCAAACGTATTACTAAACAGCAGTATTCTAGCGATTTATGGCCTTTGAAAATCGAGTTTGGGTAATGGTCGAGGGTCGAGGGTCATAGGTCGAGGGTCATAAGTCGAGGATCACGGGTCATAGGTCGAGGTTCGAAAGTCGAGGGTCAAAAGTCGAGGGTCAAAAGTCGAGGGTCAAAAGTCGAGGGTCAAAAGTCGAGGGTCGAATGTCGAAAATACTAAATTTTTATCCATTTAAAAAGTTTTACAACCATTAAACGCGGCAAAACAATTAGTTTTGCTGTCAAAACTGAAAAATTTCGCCTATGGCTAAGCTGTATGGCTATGTACTGTATAACTGAAAGTTTCGAGGTTTGATGTTTGAAAGCATACATCTTTTATTTTACATTGGAGTTTAAATATACAAACACAGACTATTATACAAAAATCGCGTTTCACTCTCATGAGAAATTTGATTATAAGTAATATGTTATCTCTTGGAGGCAATTCTCAGAACTTCAACTTAACGATACTCCTCATACCGCGTATGGTTTTGGAGGTTTAAAGCGTTAGGATGTGCGAGTAACAGTTGATATTTATATATTTTATGACATCATGTCTGCACTGGAAGTGCACATGTTCGATTGACAGTTTCATATTCATAATATAGTTGCGAGAACGTTGTAGTGTAATAAAATGGAAACTTTCTTTAGTTATTCTGTCAAAAATAACAGGCACGAAGCACGAATCTTTATAACAGGGTGATTTTAGTCTGGTTCAGAATTATCTCACGACCATTGCGAGAGATTTTTGCTGCGCTGGGACTCGATTCGTTCTGATAGCACAATAAATACAATATATTTTCGAACCTCGAGCTATGACCGTCGACTTATGACCCTCGACCCTCGACATGTGACCCTCGACCCTCGACCATTACCCAAACTCTTAAAAATCAAGCGAAATTGGTCAAATTGTATTGTTGACAAATCGCTCGCAGTACGTTTCATAGTGTTTTGTAATGCCTAATGGCGCAATAAGGATAAAAAAATACCACCGTTCGATCCAGCGTTAGAAATTGTACTAATTACGGATGTCAAATGTATTACTAAACAACAGTATTCTAGCAATTTATGGCCTTTGTCTTTGAAAATCAAGCGAAATTGTATTGTTGACAAATCGCTCAAAATTATTAAACTAATTATAAAAAAAATGCAGTACGTTTGATCCTTGATAACTTTAGTACCATTGGTTTTCTCTTTTTCGGCCGTATACCAGTGGATTTGTCTCACTTCTCTCTTCATTTTGATAGTATTTTGAGCCCAAAAGCCCAAAATGGCCAAGAATATTTTATTTTGAACGTTTTAAAGCGCAGTTTAATCTTAGCGTACGGACCAACTGGCGGCGACAGTCTTGAAGAAGGATGTAGCGTACGTAGCGTACTAAATATAACTTTACTTGTAGCCAGTAGGGTAGGGCCTACCGCATTTTAGTGCTGTGTTAAGCCTTTCGCGCTCGTTTTCGACTTTTCCGTTTAGCTGGGGAAAAACCTTAAATCTTAAATTAATTGAAATAGCTCTGTACTGTATGTATGATGTGTGATCATGTACAGTAATGTGCGTATTTGTATAGCCCCAGCGAGTTAACGCTCCGTAGAGCGTCTTGTTTAGTAATAAGTTTATATTGACCGTTTAAATATCATGACAGAATGATCAATGATTCAGGCATGTTCAATGTTGGCAACCGTTGTATGATTTACGAAGAAAAACGTGAAAATGATTGATGACTTGATATTAAGGCTCTGCTCACAGGAACAGGGTATATAACTATTAATTCAACCACGAAGGAAAACATCGAAATGACATATAGTGTTGTATAGTATCGTATAGTCTTGTATAACGTTGTATAGTCTTGTTTAGTCTTGTATAGTCTTGTATAATAGTCGTCTATAGTGTAGTATAGTGTTGTATAGTCTTGCATAGTGTCATATAGTCTTGTCAAAGGGTTAAGCTGTCAAATAGTTGCCTTTCTGAATGGGGCCAAGTACCGGCTGGTGTTCCTCAAGGAACCAAATTAGGCACTTGGCTCTTCTTAATAATGATTAATGATTTGAAGAAACATAGTGAGAACTTATGGAAATACGTTGACGATACCACGGCGTCGGAAGTCGTATTGCAAGGCGAGCACAGTGAAGCTCAACTGATTGCAAATGAAATTTTAGATTGGTCCAATATCAATAGAATGCAATTAAATGCTGATAAATGTAAGGAGATACGAATTTCTTTTGCACGGAATCAACCCAAGCTTAACCCAATTTCAATTGAGAATCAAATCACAGAAGTTGTATCCGATTTTAAAGTGCTTGGTCTTAACATTAGCAACAACCTTACGTGGAATAAACATATCACTGAATTAGTCAAGAAAGCCTCCAAAAGGATATATTTCCTTATTCAACTTAAGAGAGCAAAAATCCCAATACAAGAACTAATCACATTTTACATAACCTGTATAAGATCTGTGTTGGACTATGCTGTCCCGGTTTTCCACTACAGCCTACCCAAGTATTTAAGTCAAGATTTGGAACGAGTCCAGAAACGCGTATTTGGAATTATTTATCCCCATTTGAAATATGAGGAAGCTTTAAATCTCAGTGGAATTGAACATCTTTCCACTCACCATCAAAACGGCTGCAAGAAATTGTTTAATGCAATTATCAAAGATTCTAATCACAGTCTACATTACCTCTTGCCGCCAAGGCATAACTCCATCCACGACCTGAGATCTATTAGATCTTTTGACGTTCCAGTTTGTAAAACCAATCGGTTTAGTAATAGTTTTATTATGGCATCGAGTAACAAAACTGAATAGGTTTTACTCTTCATTTACCTATTTTATATTCTTAATAACTTTTGCATGCTTATTATAAACAGTCACTTTTGACAATTTAGTTAATTAATTATAATACTTTGATATATTTCAAAACTCTAATTTTTAATAATTTTTAATTGTAAGTATAATACGCAATTCAGCTCATGGCTGCAATGTATTTACCATTTCTAAATAAAGTATAAAGTATAAAGTATAAAGTAAAGTATATATATATATATATATATATATATATATATATATATATATATATATATATATATATATATATATATATATATATATATATATATATACATACATACATACACACATACATACATACATACATACATACATACATACATACATACATACATACATACATACATACATACAGTTATACATACATAGGCTTTATCCTTTGTCCTTGTTTAACAAAATCGATTTAAATTTTTACTTTTGTCTACCACTAAGTAATGATAAATTATTGTTAATAATTTTTTTATTTTTTGGATGCTCAGAATGCAGGAAATAGCATTTCTAGGTTTCAAATTTCAAACATTTTCGGGGGATTATCCCTCTAATAAGTAACGATAAATTACAGTTAATATTCTTTTTTACTTTTTGTGCATTTTTCCCATCTTTTATTTCAAATACAAGTATAGTTAGCATAAATTTTAGAGCAAATTTGGATGCTCAGAATGCAGGAAATGGTATTTCCGTGCTTCAAATTTCAAAAATTTTCTGGGGGAGTACACCCCCACACACCTGACCATTGCCATCCTCCTCTAATAAGTAACGATAAATGATGGTTAATTTTTTGTTACTTTTTGTGCGTTTTTTCCTCTATTTATTTCAAAATATACAAGTATAGTTAGCATAAATTTTGGAGCAAATTTGGATGCTCAGAATGCAGGAAATGACATTTCCGGGATTCAAATTTCAAAAATTTCTGGGGACCACCCCCATTCATGCGTGGTATATTGGCCACATACGTAGCCTTCAGCCATTGCTATCCCCCTCTAATATATTATCTCACAAAAAAGTCCCTTTTCAAAAAATGCCCCCCCCCCTCACGGGAAAATCCTTAAAAAAGGCCCTGCATAACATGGGACATTCTAAACATATCTGATTTATTATAAATATACCTTTACCTTCCTCCGAATCTGACTCATCACTTGGGATATTGTCAAAATCTGAAAAAAATAAGATGTATCTGAAAGGGTAACATAACGTAAAACTACTGATAAGATGAATTTTTCCTGGGCACCTGCACTCCTCCCGTATTTGAACGGCCCTGAACTTAATATATTGAATAATGTATGATGTAGTTGTAGTTTAATGCTCGTATTTTGACAGTACCTTGAAGGGTAATATCTCGTAGGTTTTTCCCTTTGAATTTATGGGCCCTCCCTTCATCGATGGCCATCAAAAGGTTGCCCACAACTGCCATCTCCAAGGTGCTTTCTTGCATCCGATAGAATTGTTTATGAATTTGGATGTCGTGCCCAAGATGTGTGGCCAGCCATCCAAGTTCATTGTGATCCATATCGATCAGCTGCGACACCGTCCCCGCATACTTTCTTAAACTGGTTGATGTGATAACGTCAGGATGCTGCAAGTCAACCATACTGCATGCCTGACGTATCACATCATTTCCTCTACGATGCTTTGTGGACTTCCCATTGTTCACAGCGAACACGTACGTGTTTTCTTTGGTCACATTTCCTTTTCCCCTGGTGCTATTAAGGACCACAATAGCCTCTTTCACGTCCGGTGTCAGCAAAACAGGCACCTTCCTGTTCCTCTTACCCATTATCTCCACCATATCGAATCTATAATTAAATTCAAATGATGCATCTTTAAAAAATAATGTTTGTACAGTACAGAGTATTTTCTATGATTGGCAATTTTTTTCACGAACAAAGATCATCAAATCAAATGTTACCAATAACCATGGAAATATTGAACAAACGTGAAACAATTATTTCGTAAA